AGGACTTGGTCCATTGTTATGTACCAAGTCCAAAACACTTGTAAAAATATCTTCTCTGTAGTATGCTCATCCATTGAAAGTTGTTCCTTCTCTGTTCCGTGCAATGCTAGAACTGTGTGGTTTTGTATCACCACACACCAAAGTATTCTCTTCAGTCCTCTTCTTTATGTGAATTTTGAAGAGTCCCTTTTGATCAACCAAACTTTCTATATCTTTTGGAAATCAGGTTGAGTCCCCTGTTGATAACCGCTTTCGCGGCGTTGTAGTAAAACGGGGTCTAACCTTTCGGTTCTTCCCCGAGTATCGTGTGTCTTGAGGAATGACGGAGGAGTTTTTTTATTTTGAGTCCAGTCACAGGTTATCGCAAATTATTGGAAGCTTTCCAAATTAAAACTTATGATTGATTTCCTAAACTAATTTTGAAAAAGAGACTAACTAAATTTAAGCAAATACTGATGATGACTAAAAAATAAACTAAATGAAATACATATTAAATTCTAAATGGATTGATCAAAGAAGAGAAATGAATTGAGTAATTAGAAATGGATATATTCTTGGACCTAGGAATTAGGGAAATAAAAATTAAAATTGGACTAATAATTTCTTTCCTCATAGACAAGAATAGCAACTATTTTCATTAATTTATCCTATTTCTAGGTATCATTAATGTGTTTAAAATGGTTGGCTTATATTAAATTCTAATCCCATAGACAAGATGAAAATAATTCTCCAATATCTAAATTAATAAAAATAGCCAAATTCATTAACTAGTTAAACTCATTATTTAAGCAATTGAATTTATTTCTCATAGACAAGATGTAAATCTCTTTCATTAAAATATCCTATTTCTAGGCCTTATTAATGTGCTTTAATATGGTTGGCTCAAATTATTTTCTAATCTCATAGACAAGTTAGAAATAATTTTCCAAGAATTTAATTAATGAAAATGGCTAACAATTATGAATTACCATTTCATCATTTTAAACAACTAGTCCAAATTATTAATTTTAACCGCTAATTTTAGGTCAACAAGTCAACCAATATTCCTTTAGTCAATTCATGCCCAGAACAAATTAGCTACTAAACACCATTTTTGCATTTAACAATATAATGAATAAATTCAACATTATTAAGGAATTAAACATGTACGATAGTGAAAATTAAACAAAAATAATATTCTGTCAAAATAAACTTGTAGAAATAAAATATCACCTTCTGTAATTTTTCCCGAATTTTATAACCTAAAATCCAATTTTAACAACTAATTGATAATTTCCCCAATATTAACTAGAAAATACAAAAAGCAACTAAAAATATTCTAAATTCGTTCTAAATTTTATATTGACTACTGGGAGTGATATTACTGTGAATTAAACTGGAATTAGGACAGAAACTATTTTTTTGCCTTTTTTGAGTATTTAATTTGATTTAATTTAATTTATGCAATAATAACAACTAAATGTCGGAATTAATTAAAAATTACTTCTGCTTTGTACAAACTACCTTTGTTTTGATAAATAACTACCTTGAGGCTAGTAAACAACTATATAATTAATGGGAATGGATTCAACATCGACAACCATTTTATTCAATTTTTGGAAGAAAATGCAAATTAATTGATAAATATTCTGGAAATTTTCGAAGAACAGATAGAACAAACAAAGCACAGATTCAGATTCTACACATTGAGAGGATGAAAATGCATATATAGAACTTACAAATTGGAGCTAAAATGAGAAACCTATGAAATATTGAAGATGAAGGTGCAACAATGGTGGAAATCCGAGCTTTGAGGGGGAAGAAGACACACTTTTTTTTTATCTGATTTGGACTTGAAATTGGTGTGTTTTAGTTGTGGAAAAAGCTTGGTATTTATAGCACAAAAAATCTCGTAGGCCTTCAAATAGGCGGCCGCCCTTTGTCCTCATTCGCTAGCCTTCCGTTGCATCGCCGACAGAAGATCGTGCTCGCGTGGCTTCACCGCAGGCGGCCACAGCAGGCGGCCAGATTTAGGGGCCTTTTGGACCACCTACCGTCAATTCTCACCGTCCGGTCGTTGGTTCTGGCACTTCGTGCCGCAGGCGGCCGCTAAGGGCGGCCGCCCTCTGTCCGGTGTCGGCAGCCTTTGGTCTTTTTTTTGTTTCCGGTCAAAGTCAAAGTTTGACTTTAATTTCATCACAGGCGGCCATTTAGGCGGCCAGATTTGGGGGCCTTCTGGACCGCCTACGGATCAATTTCTCCAGCTTGTACGGTATTTTCTTCTCTTCAAATTTCTCTTCTGAACCTCTTTGATATTCCGCTTCCTTCTTTGGATATGAATTCATTTGTTACTCAAATTGACTCATTTTGTGCTCAATTGATCCGGAATTTCGCCAAACATATTATGAATGTGATTTTCACCTGATTTCATGAAACTTGAACCAAAATATCTAAAACATGCCTTGCTTTTCTGTTTTCTATCCAAAAATCGCTTAATTTTGATAAGAAAAATAAGTACAAAAATGGACTTATCACATGTCTTCTGTTTTGTTTACCCATTTGCATAGCATATATGTCATAAATTTTCAAATTTAAATTGTATAAATAAATATTGAATAGCGGTTATCTTTTCAACCTTGGACATTAGGCTTCCAGATGTTTTTCCCAAAATTTCAATACATTCCCGATCCCATAAAATAAAAGTTGCATGACTGGTTTGATCCATGATGAAAACGCTGACCTTGTACCTTAAATATATACAAAACATCTTTCATTCAAATGAATTTATACAAATCCATTACAAACATTGATATAACTTCCATATTGAACCTTCTTTTTTCTGGGATCACTTTTTTGTTGCACGTGGGGCAACTTAGGTAGCACCATTCTCTGAAGTTTTTGGTAGACAGAATGTCTCCAAGGATCCAGTAAACCCCACCTTGTTTTGTGATTAAATAATTGCAATAATTGCTATTGTCATAGGTAGATATAGTTTGTTAGCATATCAGTCAATATAAAGTGTAGAGACACTTGGGTAGCATTAGGAAAATCCTGAATAATTGTTATGATATCCTTCCCACCAAGGACATCATCTCTGCTCTTTTCACCTTATGAGGTCTGTGAGATCAGTAACGTTGTCATCACCATTAATTGGAAATCTGAAACATTGTATCTCACAAGGTGAAGGGAGCACGGATGATGTTCTCAGTGGACAGACTGTCATAACAACTATTCAGAATTTGGTTAATGCTGCCCATGTGTCTCTACACCTTCGAATATCGATTAATATGCTAAACAAACTATATCAACCTATGACAATTGCAATTATTTCAATTATTTAATCACAAAACAGGGTGAGGTTTACTGGATCCTTAGAGATAGTGTGTTTATTGAAAACTTTAGAGAATTGTGTTACCTAAGCTGCCCCACGAGCAACAAAAATGTGATCCGAGAGAAAGAAAGGTGCATGTGTTCTACATGCAATGTAACACTCTCAAAGGGAGTGTATCAGTAAGGAAATTGTATCAATATGCTTGTAATGAATTTGTATATATTTATGGTACAGTCAGCGTTTGCATCATGTATCTATCTGGCCATGCAACTTCTATTTTATGGGATTGGGAATGTATTGAAATTTTAGGGAAAACATCTAGAAGCCTAATTTATGAGGTTGAAAAGGTAACCGTTGTTCAATATTTAATTTTTACAACTTAAATTTGAAATTCTATGACTGATATGTTATGTGGTAAACAGAATAGAAGACAGGGGAACCTACTCGATATCCAGAAGATATAGAAAACTTGGTTGACCAAGATGGACTCTTCAAAATTCATCTAAAGAAGAGGGTTGAAGAGAATACCTACACCTGCACACAATCATTTGGTGTGGTGACATGATGCAAGACCCCACCTTTTAGCATTGTATGTAACAGAGAAGGAACAACTTTCAATTTGGTTTTTTAAAAGTGATATATAGCTTAGAACTAAAACTATATATATAGGGAGCAGAACTCCATTGAATTTTGATTGAGATGTAATAATGAAGTGCAACTTCTTCATTCTGGAGGCAAGTTGTTTCTAGTGCAAATTGGATACAGAGGAAGAATTGTTTCTGGTGCAAATTGCAAATCCTTAGAGTTGTCTTTCAATGCTCTTCAATAACTGTTATTAACTATAGTGCCATTGATAAAAAAGGGAGGGAGTCAGTACACCTTGTTGTGCAATCCTTTGCTTTATTTTTAGGTGTAATTGGCCGGTGTTTGGGCTGCTTTAAAGTTTCACAACAACAAGGGCATTCACCATTTTTACACTCTTCATTCTTGGTTGGGGCTAGCCTGCCTCTTTCTATTTGGTTTCCAGTGGGCACTTGGGTTTTCAACATTCTGGTATCCTGGAGGATCAAGGAACAGCAGGGCAAGTCTACTACCATGGCATGTTTTCTTTAATATATACATATATGCCCTTGTTGTTGCTACTTGCCCTACTGGGTTACTAGAGAAAGTTACATTTCTTGAAACCAATCACATAATATCCCGCTATTCCACAGAGGCATTGGTCGTGAATTCTTTGGGCATGTTGATTGTTGTTTTGGGAGGGTTGGTCACTCGCTGTTGCATCTCCTGTGAAAGGACAGGCCGACATCCTTCGGGAACACTGGAAGAGTAACTCTTGCATTCAATAGCACAATACTAGAACCTAACAGGCCGACATCCTGTGAACTGACTTCATGTATTCAATACTAGAACCTGATAACTCTTGAATGAAATAACACAATTTTTTTAAGCTTCTGTTGAGACATACTCAGCCACTATTATTCTGTTCTCCGACATCATAGTTCAACACCATGAAATGAGTAAAAGAGCCGGGGTTTAAAAAAAACTGCTGGTAACTATAGTCCAAATAGAAATAGATCATTCCTTTTGTTCCTTCAATAACTGTAATCCCACCCTGTAAAAACCCCAAATAAATATAGATTCTCAATGATATAAATATATTCATAATATAAATAGACTAACTATAATTCCTTTCTCAAATGCACATTATTTCCAGCCCAATGAAAGCACATCGAGTCATTACAGTATACAAATGCAACACTGCAGTTGGCCTAAAATAGACATATAAAACAAACTAAATACGTATTATATCTAAGAGTGGAGTGAAGTACAATAGGCACTAGTTAACTTAACACTTCAATGGAACAAAAAATGTTTTATGTTTTAACTACTTCAATAGCCAGTAGCTTCATCCGGTTTTATGTTTCCTCTTTTCGTCATCAAGCTCTCCAAAGCTTCTCTTAGTCCCTGAGCATCGAGTTCCAGAGAAAACCCCGCCAAAGTCATCCTCGTCGTGGATATGATTGGGCGACGCCATAGGATTGGATTTGAACGGCAATTAAAATTGAAGCTCTACCTCTGGTTTGAAGTACTTCAGCTTTTTTGCAACTGCAACCCCACCATTAAATGGCAAATGGATAGTTCTACTGATAAGCCTCCTTACACTCCCCAGTTTAAACAAATCCAGCCCGCCCGAGATCCGGGTGATTACAGGCCATCCTTGAAGAACATCATCGTTGGAACTTTACAAGAACCTTCATCGTTGGAGTCCTCGTCGATCGCCAGGGCTGCAGTCTCGTCGTCCGTTGAGGCATCTCGAGATGGAGTCTCGTACCAATGGAGTGACGGATGTTTTTGAATTTTATCTTTTTACTTGAGGTCGGATACTTCAAGTATAACTGAGTGAGATGGCTAAATGATGTGGCAGCTATTAATTCTTACTAGGAAAGAGAAAACATACATTTGTAAACACGTCATTCTCCGGCAACTTAATAGGCCTGATTCATTAATCTGCAACTAAGGTTATAATTAAGTGATCAAAATAATACAAATTAAAGTAATGTGACCAAATTGAAACTTGCTTGGAAGTTTAGTGATCATTCAAGTTAATTTCCCGTAAAATACAATTTATTATCATAATAATAAGTCATTGTTGTCAATCATTACTTTTCTTAATAAATGTAGTTAAGAGAGAAGACTCGCGAGTAAGATATAATATATAATGAATTTTATATTTTTTAATTTTAAAAATATAAATGTGATTTAATATTATTAATCTAATAAAGTTAATTTGAAGAAAATATCATCAAAATAGTAATAGGAATAATAAAAAATTAAATAAATCAAAATCTAAGAAATATTTAATAAAATCTAATAATTTAATATTTATTAAATCGAACTTTTTATCTTTTAGGTCTGTTATTGATACTAGATCAATCTTTTAGGTCATGAATTAATAAAATTCTTATTTCTTGGTATTTCTTCTTTGCTACACACGAAAGAAATGTCATTGAGATTAATCCAGCCGGATGAATTACAAATAAAACTTTTATATTCATGATGAAGAGGTGTCTAAAGTTTTGATAACACATATTTCAAACAACTTCCGTATGTATCCCATGAATATTACTCAGCTCGTATGTCTTCTGCCTTAACTACTTTCATTAATATTTATTCCACAATCAAGAACAATAACTTATTATTACGATAATACATTGTGTATTACTTTAAAATTTAATTTCGATCTAGACAATTTTCATTGAATTTAAGAGTTATATTAAATTTAGTTTAACAAAGTTGAGGGGGGTAACTAATTGATTTTTGAAAATGCAAGGTTGCATTAATAATTATAATATAACCTCATGGAAAAAATAGTAATTTTCTCTTCTATTATTACAATTGTTTGTGTTAGTATATGTTGGTGTATATTATTAGATCGCTATAAGTCATTAATATTTTATTCATTCACAAGGAATTCTATGCAAATGAAACAGTATAATGTTATTATACTGCATATTTGGTTCTATTGAACAAGAAGTTAACAGCCCAACTCCAAGTTCAAGTCAGAGGGATGTCAATGTTGTTGAAGGGGAAAAGTTAGGCGTTGTCTTATGGGGGAGCTTTCTGTATCAGGCCCATCAAAGAAGCTAAAGTCTGTTATGAAAAACATTGATATTTGGCCGAAGGAGATGTTGATGTTTTGTTAATTTTGCATGTTTGGAGTGTTGCTATGACTGACTTGAACTGTTGTTGCCCAACTATGGGTATTGTTTTGTTTTTTTAGTTTTTTGTGACTTGGCAACAACTACACTCTATTAAATATACTTTTGGTGTAATTTGTGTTTACTACTTCAATCATTATGCATATTTATTATTGATATGGCTACTCATTATTTGCTTATATTAATTCTTGAAAGTGTCGATTATTTAGTCTCTTGGTTATTTGGTAGCATAAATCAGGTATGCGTAACAACTTTCAGTAACTTATTTTCACATAGAATTTGAATTTAAATTGTGTTATGTTTGATTGTTGTCTTGGGATGTATTTGACATATGACGTAGGCTTTGTACAAGAAATATTGGATGTTACTGCTATGTAACCTATGTTGTGATGTTAGGATGGAAAAAAATTGGCGGTCTCAGTCTAATGTAGTAACTTTTTTAGATTGATTAACAGTTGTTAGTTTTTGATTCCTTTGTAAATCTTTGAAAAGTTCAGTGCAATTTTAGAGATGCAATTTTAATATTCAGATACAGATTTAGACATGTATTTTATAGTATTCCATCTCAAATTCAAAGTGTTTAATGATATTAGAGAGTTAGAATCAATTTTTGAATTAATTAATTAAATTTTGAATTCAAATCAATTTTGCTCTTATCTACCCGTCCTTTCGAATTTTCTATAACCTTTCATTTCCTTAAGAAAACAATTCACTTGAACAAAAACTTACTCATATGATATTATTACTAATGTAGCATCAACTGGTGTGACATGAATAATGATATATTTATGTCTAATCTGATTTGAAGTGACTTGGTAGTACTTTCTTCCTCTCGATTTGTAAATCGATTGTTGGAAAGTGATTTTTCACTTTCTCTAGAAATATGAAGAAAATGATTGATTGAGTTTTTTTGAATTAACGAGGATTAAATAAATAATTACCAAAATAATGTCAGGTTAAAAGTATTTATCGATCTACTGCTGGTTTAACCAGACGTGAAAGTAGTAGAAGAGTGACAGAAGACCACGACTACTCGCCACATATAACAGATGTCATTGAGGAGAATAAGGACAAGGTGGAACACCACATTGTTACTCCATTTGATATAGGCCGAGGGATATACCAAGTGGAAATGGGATGTGGGGACCGAAGGGTGGGAAAAAGCAAACGGGTAATTTGTAGAAGCGTACTTGTACTTGTAAGAAGGTGGAAATATATAAGATTCTGTGCTCACATGTATTAGATGTGTGTAAACAACGTAGTTTGTCGTATCATACTTTTTTGGATCCTATTTTTCATCTTCCCAATACTTCGCTTCATATCATAGAGTTTTTAAACTCATTCCCGACCGTACTTATTGGCCAACATACATTGGATCATGAATTGTGCACGATCCATCGATGCTTCGTGCAAAGGGACAACCAAAGTCCAAACGAATTAAGAATGTGATGGATGAAGGTGCCAGAGGAACCGTAAGATATGGAGTATGTAAACATACCGGACATAATAAGGCCACATGTGCAAAGAGATCTTGAGATGGTGGGAGGTCCACTGGATAAGGTTTTAATTATTATAATCCACAACTCCTACTAATGTGAATAAAAAAATATTAAATGACTATATCAAATGGATTACAATATCTTTTGACTCTTATATATATATCGGTGAATTAATAAATGACTATGCATTTTATATGTAAACTTAAATCTCAACTTTTCGAATTCTTCATTAACATTTAAACTCAACGACTCAACATATTAGCCCAGCATACAGTCATCGCATCTATACGTGGATGCTCACACGAAAAAAACTTTAAAGAAAGCAGATTTGGTGAATATAAGCATATTCATATATACTTAAATCTATGCATTTAAAGGACTACTCAAATCTACTTAAATTGTAATCAATATAATTTAATATGATTAAAATTGGTTTGAGGGGTCAATAGTGTGAATAATCAAAATTTAAGGAGTAAATAATTAGGGCCTGTTTACTAACAGAAATATTTTCTGTTTTTCCAAAAATTTGGAAAACTGGAGATAGAAAAATTAGAAAACGTGTTTACCTAACTGTTTTCCAGAAGTAAAAAAACCAAACATGTTTCGCTTCTTACTGCTGAAATAGAAAACCGACTTTTATACGTTTTCTAAATTCAGAAAACGCGGAGCTACAGTGATAGTAATTTACTCACTCTCCTTCTCTTCCGCTTATCTTCTTTACTTCCTCGCCTTCTCTTCCGCCTACCATCTTTACTACCTTCCATTACAGCGTTCTACCTTCCTCCACCTACCATCTTTACCTCTTCTCCAAACCCTTGCTATCTGAATATTGTTTAACCCGTGCCCTATCCTATTAAAGTCGCAACTTGCTTCCCCATATACATCCCACCCCTTCTCAAACGATATACAGCTCGTTGCTTCACATGTCAACCAAGCTCCTACTTCACCAAACAGGGCGTCACTGCTAGGAGCTGCACCCCGACATCACGGAATCTCCCAATTCTTCAGTCGGCTCCTGTTCTGTCGGCGACTTGAAGGTAAGCCTTGATATTAAATGGCATTTTCACTTTACCTTTTTGAAAAATCGAATTCGATTGGTAATAACCTGAAAGCAATTGAAGCCTGAAAGTCATACCCATGTGTCCTACAATTTTCAAGGCTAATTGAGCTTAATTTTTTTTTCCTTGGTTTTTCTGCTACAGCAGTCTAGGTTTAATAGTTATTTGATTTTTTGACACTTGATTGGTTTGATGTATATAAGTAAGTTGGAATTGAATATGATCCAAATTGCTTTCATTTTTCCTTTTTTTGTGTCTGAGTTTGTTAATTGGATTGGCTGTGAGATTCCTGAATTTTTTGTTGGTTATACTTATCCAAAAGCTATTAAAGCATGGGAATGTGTTCTACAGGCTTAGAGGATTTTTTTTTTTCCTTTTGTGATCTGTTTTTTTCAATTGTATATATGTATCTATATTAGCAAATTTTTCTGTTTTTTCCTTATTATTTATTGCTTAGGAAGTCGTATTTGTATAAGCTTGAAATATTTGACAGGAACTCCAATCTATTTCATCCTGTCCAGCTAATTTTACAATGTATAAAACTTTTATCTCAGCTACGGTTGGAAACATCACCCTTCTGCATCCATACTCCTTATTTACTTAGATGTAGACATTTATTTAACTTCCTGACCCTATTTGAGTGCATCCTCACTTCACAAGCTGAGTGAGAATTAAAGGGATTTAAACCATAGAGTCATGGATTGAAAAATCATGGGGGTGGCAACACTGAACCTGGTTTCCTTTAAACCATTTACGAAGTATTTGGGAAAGAAACTATGGTATAAAACTTCCAGAATAATTAGAGTGTTAAATGCAAGCAGTACTGTTACATATAGAAAATTGAACAAGTAGAATTAGATTCTTAAAGCTTAGTTGACGTTAAAGTACAATAAGTTTAAACAAAAGCTTGTAAGAACTATTTCCCGTAAAAAGAACAGTCTAAAACATAAGCATAAAGCTTCAACTGCAAAAAATACTAAGCTTAAAACATGTCATAGTCCACCCTCTGCTGCATCAGGTTCATTTTTTGGTGCTTTAAGTTCGGCTTCTTGGTCTGTTTCTTGATTTATTATGGCCAACAACCTTACACAATTAAGAATCATGAGTTTGCCTATTTCTTAGTTGTTGCTTAAGAAGTATGGGCTAACGGCTGGTTTAGATTTTAATGATTCGATGGTTTTATTTCTTATGCTAATCTGTTCTCTTCGAAAAACTGTTTTGACATAAGCATCTAGTTCATTAGGCTTAATTTGTGCACATGAGCATTATATTGCTAGTTACAGTACATAGTTCTAATAAGATTGAAAACAGTGACATGATTCAATGAAATCTTGTTAAGCAGGCTTAAATAAGCAAGCGTTATTTAACTACCGACACTCGTCCATGCGTAATGTCATCAAGAGGTGTTTCGGAGTACCAAAGGAAAGATTTCCCATTCTAGACATATCACGTGGTTACCCATTGAGAAGACAAGTTCAAATTCCCATAGCTTGTTGTGCATTGCATAACTTCATTCGCATGCAAGATAGAAACGATGATCTGTTTTTGGAGTACAAGGAAGATAATAATATGATATTTAACACGGAGGCAAGTACAAGTGAAAATGGATCACTTGAATTTGATGTCTCAACACAACAAATGCACGAAATTCGAGAAAGTATTGCAAATGCAATATGGGATAATTATAATGTTTGAGATGTCCAAGTACAACTGTTGTAATGATTAACATGTCACTTATTGAACTTTCAGCGTTGGGGAACATTTATTTTAATTTTTGTTGTGTTATTTCAAATGTTTGTGAATGTGCATTTCTTTTTCCAAATATAAAGTCAACGTTGTTTGATAAAAATGAAATGAAAAACTGAAAACTTCTGGTAAACATGTTTTCTGATTTGGAAAACAAAAATCTGGAAAACGAAAACAGAAAAATGAGGGCTTGAAAACAGGAAATGAAAACAGAAAAATATTTCCGTTAGTAAACGGGCCCTTAACTTTTTAACATGCAAGGTTGAATTAGTGATTTTGACATAATATCATGTGTCAATAGTAATTACATCTTTGATAATTACGTAGTACTCTCTCTGTCCTGCTAAGATTGTCTTAGACACTATTCACTTGGTCAACACAAATCACTTTTAATCTCTTACTTTATATATGCATTTTTTATCAAATTTGATTCATATTTTTGCGACTTTGTAAAACTATCAATATAGATTCTGAATATGTAATTTTTTTCCTAAAAATAATTTGAGAGTGGATAGGAATTTATTTGCTTTATGTGGGATCAAGTATCGTACATCCCAATGGACCCAATCTTAATGAGACGGAGATGGTAATAAATACTACGACTCTACGAGTACGTAGTAAGTGGTAACTAGTACTTTAAGAGCATCTCCAATGCTAAAACGTTATGTGACACTTCGGAAATTTTAAATAAAATAAAATAATTAATTTTGTTAATCAGATAAAACGTTACAAAAGTGACATTTGTCATATTTAAGTTGATAAGATAATATTTTTATAGCATGTGGTAAGTATACATTAAAAATAAAAGACAGCATTAAATTTACTAGATATATGATAATAATTAAAAATAATAATATATCTACTACGTACAATTTATATAGTGACACACACATATGACTGATTCGTAACAATTATAATGAGGGCTGACTTTTCAAACCTAAATAGATAAGTATATATATATAAATATACAGAATGCGTGATCGATACTACTAATAATAATATTATTATTATTACACACGAAACTACTTCGTAATGGTATAAGGAGAATTAGACTTTTTAAACTTATATAATACGTAATACTAATAACAATAAAATACAAGTAATAACCTGGTAGATAAGAATTACATTGTTCGGCTTGCGCTACACACTTGCGGATCGATAAGAAGTGCCAACGACCTGCGTATCATTCGCACATGAGCTAATCGGATAAATCACATGCATCCCACGATTAGAACTTTTATCACCACCTATAAATAGCAACGCTGTGAACAATCACGTTGCACCAAAACCACGAGAGAAAAGAAAAGAAAGAGTGGGAGAAAAAGAGAGTGAATCGTAGCTGCTCAGCTCCGGAGAAAGGAGTCCGCCGGACTGGTTGCTAGCCGGAGTTGTCGCCGGACGGACAAGCGAATCACCAGCGAAACATAGGAGAGTCGACGCTACCTTTCGTGATCACAGAAGGGATTGCCGTGTTGACCCGCGTCGACTGCCGTGAGAAGAAGAACGCCGTACAGTACGCCTTCTTCCTCTTTCCCGTACATCGTTGTTTTCTTTTAGATTTTTAGTGTCATTTAGATAAAGTAATTGGACTGAAATATAAAAGTAGTAACAAGGGGATAAGAATAATAGCGATACTGTTGACCGTAATCATAATTATATATAAATACAATAATAAAAATAAGAACAGAAGTAAAAGTAATGATCATCATGTTCCGAGAATGAACTATGAATAGATATTGTCCACTTTTATAGATATGGTCAATCAATCAAAATAATAGACTGATAAAACTGTCATAGTTAAACATAATACTGATTGAACTATCTTAATCAGATTAATTAAAGGTGGATCAATTAATAAATTAATTAATGACGTACTCACTTATTTTAGCGATATTTGATTATATTGATACTGATTAATAAATCCCAACGTAGTAAAATGATTCTTAAGGAAGTATATATGGACTGTTCGAAAACCTAACAAACAAATAATAATAACATGAACCATATATACGTAATGTGATGATATGATGAGTAATAATAAGTGCTAATGATGATGAATTTGATAATAGTAACATTCATAATAGCGCTGACCGTAATAAGATTTATAACTAGTTAAGAGAATTTTAGTCATTGATTGTTAAAAATAATAACCGGTTGATTATTATAATTGGACTAGTTACAGGATATTTATTACTTGGGTATACCGGATTGAGAAAATAGACATTTGGATTATACTAAAATAAAAGGACGGATAGTAGTAATAGTAATAATGGATTATTGGCTATGATTGATCACTATCGAATTAATGTAAGTAATGGACGGATTAGATTAAAATAGGCTATTTACTAATCTTGTTGGTTGAATTATTATAATAAAATTTGTGGATTAAATTATGGACCGACTAATATAAAACAGGGGATCGTTAGACCTAATAATGGACAACTAAATTTAGAACTAATAATAACATTGGCTTATTGGATCGAAGACTTATTTAGATAAACTTGGTATAATAGAAGAACTAACCAAATAATTGTAATAAACTTGGTATATATCGAACTAACCGTTTATGGGAAAACGGTAGGGGCAATTAATTGAACTATAAATTAGGGTGAATATTGATTTTGGGATTTTTAAATAATAGAAGGTGAACTTGGGGAGGAAGCCGATAGAGAAGCTTGTTAGGAATATCTGGATTTGAGGTAAGTCACATTGCAACCAAAATTATGTTTTTACCTCATAAATAATTATTTACTTGATTTATGTGATGGTATGAATATTTTGATTGATGAATTACTTGTGAACAAGTTGTATTTGTTGTGATTCTGAGATATATTTGATTATGTGTATACGTAATATATTTTGGGGGAAAATATAAAGTTATGAATTTAAGGATAATAATCCTTGTGGTAAAATTTTGTCCAAGAGACATAAATGTGGAATTTTTCGAAAGTCAAGATAAAAGATTGTTTTCATAATTGGGGCACCACGGGAGAAATCCGTAGGTGTCGGGCCACCTTCACGTCCGTTAATGGTGAGGGAGGGTTAGGACTACTACTACTTGAATTGAGAGGTGTAAAGCAAATTAAATAAATTTTGGAGGGTTCGGTAACCACCCCGAACAACTGGGCAGTAGATCCCGTTTATTAAAGCAGTAGTAGTAGTACCTATTCTCTTAAGGGTCTTTGAACCTAGAACTTAGGGAGTATATCCCATTTTGAGTAGGGAGACGTTGACGTCAGAACTACTTAGACTTCATACTACTCGGAGGGCTTGGAATCCCTTTAGGGGGTGTGCACACTTAAGGTAGAAGTCTAGATTCTAATAGAGGAGATGAGGTACCGAGAGTAGATCGGAGTGACCGTACAAAACAACGGATCACTGGGCTCAAGAATCGAGATAACGCTTGAGCACCGCCCTTCTAATTAAATGATTAGGAGAATTAGCTATAAAGCTATTTTGAGGAAAAATCAAATATTTTGGTACTTGGAGAATTATTCTTTGAAATACTTACGAGAACTATTGAGGAAAATCTTTTAGAGATATTATTACTCTTTTTGAAATTATTGGAAACTCATTTTTGTATATACAAATACTTATTTTTAAACAAAACTATTATTTTACGGGGTTGGGTGGGACTTACTTAGCTCTAAAGCTAATTTTTGTGTTATTTGTTCTTTTATTTTCTTATGTTACAGATGATGTGGTTTATGAAGACTGATGCACTGAGAGCGCTCCTAGAAGATTTTTAGAGTAGTCTCATTGAGAATGAACCTTGTTAGATTTCATGATTTCAAATGTTGAATTTAATAATTACTTTATATACATTTACGGTGGATAGCCTTAGCATCCAGTCGGTTTAGGCTGGGTGTGGCGGTAACACGCCCCTTTTCCTTGTTAGTATTTAATTCCGCTGCAAACAATTGAAAGTTTTGAATAATTAATAAAAAGTTTATTATTTCTTAAGTATTATTTTGGGAGGGAAATTTGGGGGTGTTACAAGTTGGTATCAGAGCCCTTAGGTTTTCCGAAAGGATTAGGACACGAGGTAATAGGTCGTAGGGAGGAATTCTGTCAACGAGACGATAAGAGTCTGAGCTGGTTGGTGCATAATTGAGCCTTTGCGCTCGTCCAACTAACTGGGAATTTCTCCTTGTGCTGAAACTTCGTTGTTCGAAATCCCTAAGTAAAACCTTTGGAATCATACCTTCAAATGGGGATTTTCAAAATATTTTGACTAGGGAAAATAAGATAGTTAGAAAATGGCCTTTAGGAACGTGGTGAGGACTTTGTGAGTATTACTTTTATGTTGTATATGTTATGTGAAAAGTTGAGAATTGTGGGCTCATGTGAAATGAGAACCCCAAGTGTCGAAATATGTTGTCATATGGAATGTGCATCCTACGTGTGAATATTTACACCTACGTGGTAATTGCATGATATAACTTGGTAGCATATGGAATCCTTAGTTCTAGGATCCTTAAGGGAAAGTAGGAGGAGTTTTCTTTACTAATTCAAGTTATTTAATGGAGACACCATGCTACCGAGAAGAGACCCGAATGCTGTCCCTACCAATGCTGAGCTGGCGCAAGCTCTCACGCTGCTCACCCAGACAATCACTGTGGCATTTCAAAACCAACCCAACAACGGCAATAACATGGAGAGTCGTGTAGCGGCACGAAACCCGCCGAGCTTCCATGGGCAAGAGGATCCAGTCCTTCTAGAGAATTGGATACGCACCTTCGATAAGCTGTTTGATGCGATCAATTGCCCGGCAGATCAACGAATTAACATTGCTGTTTATTATCTGCATGAAGAAGCAGATAAATGGTGGGTTCATGTGGGACCAGGGATGATCGCACAACCGGACTTCACTTGGGATCGATTCAAGCGTGCACTGCGAAAAAGGTTTTACCCGCCACACGTGCAAGCGGAAAATCGTGACAAGTTCCTCCATTTGAAGCAGGGGGAAATGACAGTGCAAGAGTATCACAATCAATTTGTCACGCTGTCAGATTTTGCAACATCACTTGTACCCGATGAGGAGAGTAAGATCGAGAAGTTCATCGGAGGACTGAACTACGACACCCAGAAGATGATGACGGTGCAAGACTGGCAAACATTGGATGATGTCTATTACAAAGCGGCGAAGCACTATCGGGTAATACAACTCCAGCGAGAAGCCCACAAGAAAAGAAAGAACGAAGAGGAGAATAGGCAAGGAGAAAAGCGGGCTAGGGTTCATCATCATGCAGAACCAACACACAATCGCCCGAGGGATGAGAGGAGGTTCCCGGATCATGACCAGAGGCGCGACCGTCGAAACATGGCAGTGGAGAGGCATTTCAACTGCACGAGATGCAACAAAGACCACCCAGGGGTGGACTGTGCCGGCAACAGGGTCAAGTGCTACACGTGTGGCAAAATGGGCCACCGAGCATTTGAATGCTGGGATAACGTGGGGAGAGGTCCACAGAACCAGGGACCTAACCGTGGAGGCGAAAATCAAGGTAGGAATCAAGGTGGGAACAGGCAAGGAGCTGAGAACCGGGGCAACAACAACCCGGGAAATCAAGCACGAAACGGTAATCGGGACCAGAATCAGAACCAGGGAGGGGGCAACAACAACAACAACGCTCCCAATCAAGGACGGATCTATGTAATGAATCAGGCTCAGGCCCGCGCACATGATGTGGTTTCAGGTATCATTCATGTTAATACCACTCCTGCTTATGTTCTATTTGATTCTGGTGCTTCTCACAGTTTTATCTCTTCTAAATTTGTTGAGAAGTTAAAGATAGAACCTGGAGCTAGTATAGAGTTGAATGTAAAAACAGCAAACAATAGTGTTGTAGCCTGTAGAAATGTATACATGAATGTACCCGTAGTTATAGCCGACGTCAGCCTACCTGGGGATTTGGTGCAATTTGACCTCGAAGACATTGATGTGGTGTTGGGCATGGATTGGCTTGGGAAATACAAGGCGAAGATCTTATGCAATGAACAAAAGGTGTCCATGAAAAGCCCATGTGGGAAGCGGGTATCTTTCAAGGCAACAGCGGACAAACCCGGAGTCAAGCTGATGACAATGCGGCAGATGAGGAGGTACATCCGGAAGGGGTGCGAGGCGTACCTATGCATGATGAGAAACAACCATGAAGAAGAGCAGACAATTGATCAGATTCCGGTGGTCAATGAATTTCCTGATGTGTTTCCGGAAGAGATTCCGGGGATGCCCCCGGAAAGGGAGGTTGAGTTCTCCATTGACTTAATGCCGGGTACTACACCGATTTCCAAGGCACCGTACAGGATGGCTCCGAAGGAGATGCAAGAACTGAAAGAGCAACTTGAGGAACTACTCGATAAAGGCTACATCAAGCCGAGTGTCTCACCATGGGGCGCTCCGGTTCTCTTTGTCAAGAAGAAAGACGGTAGCTTGAGGCTGTGTATTGACTACCGAGAGCTGAACCGTGTTACTATCAAGAATCGATACCCTTTGCCCCGTATTGATGACCTGTTCGATCAACTTAAGGGGGCGGGCATATTTTCCAAGATTGACCTTCGATCTGGCTACCACCAAGTGAGGATAGCGGAAAAGGATATACCGAAGACTGCATTTCGTACGAGATATGGGCACTATGAGTTCACCGTGATGCCGTTTGGCTTGACCAACGCACCAGCGGTGTTCATGGACCTCATGAACCGTGTATTTCGCCCCCATCTTGATACATTTGTGGTGGTATTCATCGACGATATCTTGGTGTACTCAAAGAACAAGAAGGATCATGAAGAACATCTTAGGGTTGTTTTGCAAACCTTGAGAGAGCATCAACTTTATGCCAAGCTTTCCAAGTGTGACTTTTGGAAAGACCGAGTAGCATTTCTGGGTCACATCATCACTCGAGAAGGAGTGTCTGTGGACCCATCAAAGATCGAAGCGGTAACCGAGTGGCGAGCACCTACCACTGTCACCGAAGTGCGGAGTTTTCTTGGGTTAGCGGGCTACTATCGGAGATTTGTCAAAGATTTCTCCAAGATAGCTAGACCATTAACTAATTTGATGAAGAAGACCACAAAGTTCCAATGGACGGATGATTGTGAGAGAGCATTCGAGGAGCTGAAGAAAAGACTGACGACTGCACCAGTACTGACACTTCCTTCGGGAACTGATGGGTTTGAAATATATTGCGATGCATCCAAGAATGGACTGGGCTGTGTGCTGATGCAGAATGGGAAGGTAGTAGCTTATGCATCCCGACAACTAAGGGTGCACGAGGTTAACTACCCAACCCATGACCTTGAGTTAGCAGCAGTAGTGTTTGCTTTGAAGATATGGAGGCACTACTTGTACGGACCACCGTGCAAGATATACACCGATCACAAAAGCCTTAAGTACATCTTCACCCAAAAAGAGCTTAACATGCGACAGAGGAGGTGGCTAGAGCTTGTCAAGGACTATGACCTTGAAATCCAATATCATGAAGGGAAAGCTAATGTCGTAGCAGATGCCTTAAGCAGGAAGACAGAACATAGCAGCAAAGCAATGTGGATACTTCCAGAAGAGCTGTATCGGGAATTCCAACGACTAGACTTGGAGGTGAAGGAGTGCGGTGAAGTGGAGAGTGAAATCCGGTTATACACAATGACCATTTTACCCTCTATCTTCGATGAAATCAAAGCGGGTCAATCAGGTGATGTGAAGCTTGAACGAGTCAGGGCTGGGATGAAGAATGGAGCCAACGGACCATTTCAGCTACACGAAGACGGGAGTATTCGCTATAAGGGAAGATGGTGTGTTCCGATGAAATGTGAGCACATCAAAAAGCAAATCATGGAAGAAGGACACAACACGCCCTATTCGGTACACCCGGGAGGAGACAAGTTGTATAAAGATCTGAAGCAAAACTTTTGGTGGCCAAGAATGAAAAATGAAGTGGCAGAGTTTGTGGCTCGATGCTTAAACTGTCAAAAAGTGAAAGCTGAGAGATGCAAGCCCAAGGGACTTGTGCAATCCTTGGAGGTACCAACGTGGAAGTGGGACTCAATCTCGATGGACTTTGTCGGGGGTTTGCCTTTAACAAAGTCCGGGAAGGATAAGATTTGGGTAATCGTTGATAGATTGACCAAGACCGCCAGGTTCATTCCCATGAATGAAACTTGGAGCATGGATAAGCTGGCGAAAGCCTACATCAAACATGTGGTCAAGTATCACGGTGTACCCCGAGATATTGTATCCGACAGAGATTCCAGATTCCTATCCCAATTTTGGAGGGAACTTCAAGCTGCTATGGGGACCACACTAAAGCTAAGCACAGCATTTCATCTGATGACAGATGGTCAGACAGAAAGAACAATTCAGACACTCGAAGATATGCTGAGAGCATGTGTACTGGACCTACAAGGGTCATGGGATGAACACTTGGACCTGATAGAGTTCTCATATAACAATAGCTATCATACGAGCATTAAAATGGCTCCATATGAGGCTTTATATGGTCAAAAGTGTAGAAGCCCTTTGTGTTGGGGTGATATGGTGGACCAAGTTGTCTTAGGGCCGCAATATTTGCAAGATACGATGGAGAAGATCAAATTTATTCAGGCGAGGATGAAGGCAGCACAAGATAGACAAAAGTCATATGCGGACCTAGGAAGAAAACCAGCTGAGTTCGAGGTAGGAGAGAAAGTACTCCTCAAAATCTCTCCCACTAAAGGCGTCATGAGATTTGGGAAGAAGGGCAAGCTAAGTCCTCGATTCATTGGGCCTTACGGGATTCTGGAGAAAGTGGGAAGAGTAGCATACAAACTAGCTCTACCCACAGAATTGAGTAAGGTATGAAGTAAATCAATTCTTTTTAAAGTTATTTGGAAGTTTAAAACACAAACCTAAAATCATTTTGGCGTGTGCAAGGTACACAACGTATTTCATGTATCCCAATTGAAGAAGTACGTCCGTGATGAATCACATGTACTTAACCCCGAGGTACGAACCATAACCTTAAGATATTTAAAACCGAATTAGACACGTTTAACCTCGATTTCATTAGGTGGTCGAGTTGGACGAGACATTGACATATGAGGAGAGGCCTGTTCAGATTCTTGATACCAAGATTCGTGAGACTAGGAGAAAAGCAGTTAAGATGGTTAAAGTATTGTGGTCTAATCACTTGGCCGAAAATGCTACTTGGGAAACTGAAGACGATATGCGTCAACGTTACCCAGAGTTATTTGAATAAGGTAATTTTCTAGTTACGAGGACGTAACTCCTCTTTAAGGGGGGTAGAATGTAACACTTAGTAATATAGATAGTAGATATTAGTTTATGTTTCGGGACGAAACATCTTTTAAGGAGGGTAGAATGTGACACTTCGGAAATTTTAAATAAAATAAAATAATTAATTTTGTTAATCAGATAAAACGTTACAAAAGTGACATTTGTCATATTTAAGTTGATAAGATAATATTTTTATAGCATGTGGTAAGTATACATTAAAAATAAAAGACAGCATTAAATTTACTAGATATATGATAATAATTAAAAATAATAATATATCTACTACGTACAATTTATATAGTGACACACACATATGACTGATTCGTAACAATTATAATGAGGGCTGACTTTTCAAACCTAAATAGATAAGTATATATATATAAATATACAGAATGCGTGATCGATACTACTAATAATAATATTATTATTATTACACACGAAACTACTTCGTAATGGTATAAGGAGAATTAGACTTTTTAAACTTATATAATACGTAATACTAATAACAATAAAATACAAGTAATAACCTGGTAGATAAGAATTACATTGTTCGGCTTGCGCTACACACTTGCGGATCGATAAGAAGTGCCAACGACCTGCGTATCATTCGCACATGAGCTAATCGGATAAATCACATGCATCCCACGATTAGAACTTTTATCACCACCTATAAATAGCAACGCTGTGAACAATCACGTTGCACCAAAACCACGAGAGAAAAGAAAAGAAAGAGTGGGAGAAAAAGAGAGTGAATCGTAGCTGCTCAGCTCCGGAGAAAGGAGTCCGCCGGACTGGTTGCTAGCCGGAGTTGTCGCCGGACGGACAAGCGAATCACCAGCGAAACATAGGAGAGTCGACGCTACCTTTCGTGATCACAGAAGGGATTGCCGTGTTGACCCGCGTCGACTGCCGTGAGAAGAAGAACGCCGTACAGTACGCCTTCTTCCTCTTTCCCGTACATCGTTGTTTTCTTTTAGATTTTTAGTGTCATTTAGATAAAGTAATTGGACTGAAATATAAAAGTAGTAACAAGGGGATAAGAATAATAGCGATACTGTTGACCGTAATCATAATTATATATAAATACAATAATAAAAATAAGAACAGAAGTAAAAGTAATGATCATCATGTTCCGAGAATGAACTATGAATAGATATTGTCCACTTTTATAGATATGGTCAATCAATCAAAATAATAGACTGATAAAACTGTCATAGTTAAACATAATACTGATTGAACTATCTTAATCAGATTAATTAAAGGTGGATCAATTAATAAATTAATTAATGACGTACTCACTTATTTTAGCGATATTTGATTATATTGATACTGATTAATAAATCCCAACGTAGTAAAATGATTCTTAAGGAAGTATATATGGACTGTTCGAAAACCTAACAAACAAATAATAATAACATGAACCATATATACGTAATGTGATGATATGATGAGTAATAATAAGTGCTAATGATGATGAATTTGATAATAGTAACATTCATAATAGCGCTGACCGTAATAAGATTTATAACTAGTTAAGAGAATTTTAGTCATTGATTGTTAAAAATAATAACCGGTTGATTATTATAATTGGACTAGTTACAGGATATTTATTACTTGGGTATACCGGATTGAGAAAATAGACATTTGGATTATACTAAAATAAAAGGACGGATAGTAGTAATAGTAATAATGGATTATTGGCTATGATTGATCACTATCGAATTAATGTAAGTAATGGACGGATTAGATTAAAATAGGCTATTTACTAATCTTGTTGGTTGAATTATTATAATAAAATTTGTGGATTAAATTATGGACCGACTAATATAAAACAGGGGATCGTTAGACCTAATAATGGACAACTAAATTTAGAACTAATAATAACATTGGCTTATTGGATCGAAGACTTATTTAGATAAACTTGGTATAATAGAAGAACTAACCAAATAATTGTAATAAACTTGGTATATATCGAACTAACCGTTTATGGGAAAACGGTAGGGGCAATTAATTGAACTATAAATTAGGGTGAATATTGATTTTGGGATTTTTAAATAATAGAAGGTGAACTTGGGGAGGAAGCCGATAGAGAAGCTTGTTAGGAATATCTGGATTTGAGGTAAGTCACATTGCAACCAAAATTATGTTTTTACCTCATAAATAATTATTTACTTGATTTATGTGATGGTATGAATATTTTGATTGATGAATTACTTGTGAACAAGTTGTATTTGTTGTGATTCTGAGATATATTTGATTATGTGTATACGTAATATATTTTGGGGGAAAATATAAAGTTATGAATTTAAGGATAATAATCCTTGTGGTAAAATTTTGTCCAAGAGACATAAATGTGGAATTTTTCGAAAGTCAAGATAAAAGATTGTTTTCATAATTGGGGCACCACGGGAGAAATCCGTAGGTGTCGGGCCACCTTCACGTCCGTTAATGGTGAGGGAGGGTTAGGACTACTACTACTTGAATTGAGAGGTGTAAAGCAAATTAAATAAATTTTGGAGGGTTCGGTAACCACCCCGAACAACTGGGCAGTAGATCCCGTTTATTAAAGCAGTAGTAGTAGTACCTATTCTCTTAAGGGTCTTTGAACCTAGAACTTAGGGAGTATATCCCATTTTGAGTAGGGAGACGTTGACGTCAGAACTACTTAGACTTCATACTACTCGGAGGGCTTGGAATCCCTTTAGGGGGTGTGCACACTTAAGGTAGAAGTCTAGATTCTAATAGAGGAGATGAGGTACCGAGAGTAGATCGGAGTGACCGTACAAAACAACGGATCACTGGGCTCAAGAATCGAGATAACGCTTGAGCACCGCCCTTCTAATTAAATGATTAGGAGAATTAGCTATAAAGCTATTTTGAGGAAAAATCAAATATTTTGGTACTTGGAGAATTATTCTTTGAAATACTTACGAGAACTATTGAGGAAAATCTTTTAGAGATATTATTACTCTTTTTGAAATTATTGGAAACTCATTTTTGTATATACAAATACTTATTTTTAAACAAAACTATTATTTTACGGGGTTGGGTGGGACTTACTTAGCTCTAAAGCTAATTTTTGTGTTATTTGTTCTTTTATTTTCTTATGTTACAGATGATGTGGTTTATGAAGACTGATGCACTGAGAGCGCTCCTAGAAGATTTTTAGAGTAGTCTCATTGAGAATGAACCTTGTTAGATTTCATGATTTCAAATGTTGAATTTAATAATTACTTTATATACATTTACGGTGGATAGCCTTAGCATCCAGTCGGTTTAGGCTGGGTGTGGCGGTAACACGCCCCTTTTCCTTGTTAGTATTTAATTCCGCTGCAAACAATTGAAAGTTTTGAATAATTAATAAAAAGTTTATTATTTCTTAAGTATTATTTTGGGAGGGAAATTTGGGGGTGTTACACGTTAACAGTGCATATGTGGCATGAGGAATAACCAATCAAAAAATAATAAATAAAATATCTCTCTCCTTATTTGAGGGATCTTATATCATTTTGGGAAGTTTTTCTTCACAATGTCAAGATGTAGACATTGTGGTTGACACTGCAGAGGAAAACTTACCAAAAACATAAAAGATCGTGGAAAGACGGAGAGAGAAATATCATAAAATCAATCTTTTGTGTCTATCTCTCTCATGCCACATGTGCACCGTGCACATTCTACCATTGGAGATGCTCTAAGCGAATCGATAATTGAGTTAATAAAATTACCACCGTCATCGGCTCACCGCCCACGTCTTCCCGTCATCCTCCATGGCACCGACTACGGCCAAAGCCCTTCATACCAGGCCTGTTGCGCGTCTAATTTCATTTCATTTTCTATTGCCTGTCCACACACTTAACACTTCGCAATCAAGTCCACGGTCAAATTAATTAAGCTAAATACTTAATCTTAAATTAATGCTCCTAATAATAAATTAATAATAATAATTTTTTTCCCGCTGCACCAAATAATGATGATAATCATTATCTATTAAATATTGGGTGATAATACTCCGTACTTTTTATGGAAATCGCGGCCACTCATGAAATTAACAAATCGATAAAGCCAACTGGTTTAGAATGCATGAGGGAGACGATTCAACTAACTCTATAATTAAATGCCCACAGATATAATGTATAATTTATTATTTTCGCGGAAACGCGAAAATAATGAGAAAACGGGAAACACCAACTTTTATTCAAAAAGGACTTATTTAGAGATTTTTCAAAAAAAATCCGAGAGTTTCCGAAACGGGAAACGTGCTCTTTTTCAAGAGTTTCTGTGCTACAAATATGACTACTACAGTTCTTTATATATCTTTGATTAAAACATAAATTTCGCCAAGTATGGCTACTAATAATGTACTTCCCTCTCAATTAGAACCTAACTAGTAATTAATTAATTACTCTCTTAAAAAGGGATAACGACCGCATCGGTTCGCCGGACTTCGTAATTATGTTCTAGAAGCGGTTTTGTGATAAGAAAACAACTGGTAATTAATACTAGTACAAAGTACTACATACTTTAGTGTAATTCTGAGAGGAGAATTGCAAATGATACAAATAACAGCCTCAGCTCGCCATGAAAAACATCCATAGAAAACGCATAGATCTATCGATCCATATATTTTTTTAGAACTTAGGACATATTACGTATTTACTTGCACTTCCTTTAATCTCAAATCGGATTAGACAGAGACCAGATATCTATCAAATTAGATCAAATTTGAATCATTTTTACATGTTGGCTTATCATATACTCCGTATTCTAATTACAAAGTGACTTTTTTTGGTAAATTAATTACAAAGTGACTTAATTACTTTTTCAAATTAGAAAAATTCTCGAAAAAGGAGTAAGAATATAGGAAACCAAGCATTCCAGTCCAGCTGGTTGTGAGGTTACCGTGCCTAGTGGGAGGTCTCGAGTTCGAATCCCGCTAGGCACACAAGGGTGTGAAATTCAATGGAGTGGGTTTCAGCCCTGATTACTCCAGGCTCCCCCCAGACCCCCTCCCCCAGACCCCCCTGGAGTAAAAAAACAAAAGAAAAGAAAAAGGAAAAAAAAAGTAAGAATATAGGACTAAGACTATTTAGGAGCAAAAACAGTCCAACTTTAAACACGACCAAAACGTGTGAATGGTGTGATGGTGTGTCAAAACATGATAGCAGTTGCACTATTTTGTGATTAAAGAAATGGAAATCTTATTTAGAAATTCACAAATGTTTTTACTTCTACATATTTAGAACAATTTCTTCAATACAAAATATAAAAACACTCACGTAGTTATGGAATAAAAAACTGAAATTGGCTGCTTGGTCACATTAATTATCCCTAACTTGAGATATTGCATCCCATTATATCGGGCGTAGTAGTGCGTACTATATGTCGTAGTATATAAACTCATCCAGTTTATCTACTCATTTGGGAATTTCGGGAAGTTGGGTTAATTTTGAGCGCGTCGGTAATACTGAATCCGTCGGACCCACTTAGGATGTTTTCTTTTGGACTGTTTTCAGTCCCAGATCAGACCAGACCAGACTTAAACAGACCAGACCAGACTTAAACAGACCAGACCAGACCAGACCAGACTTAAACAGACCAGACCAGACCAGACTTCCGTAGTTATAAAATACACAGAGAACAGACGTTTACCAGACCAGACCAGACCAGTTCAGACCAGACCAGACCAGACTTAAACAGACCAGACCAGACCAGACCAGACTTAAACAGACCAGACCAGACCAGACCAGCAAATTTCAGTCCAAAAGAAAACATCCTTATTTTGTTAAATTTTTTGAAGTTCTGAATGAAGTGACCATATATTGAGTTATTTTGCTGATTTATGAAAAAATTGTATTTAAAATGTGTTTATTAATAAAATAAAGAAAAAAGTATATGATAGAATATATAAAATGTTCATATACAGTAACTTCAGCCAAGGCAGTCACAAAAGTAACTTCGGCCTTACTTTTTCTTCTTATTACACAAGTCAGTGAGCCAAATCAAAAGTTACGTACTTATGTATTTGGTCAAAAAATTGATTGACAAGCGTGATAAATAGCCGAGAAACAGAGTCATCAAATGGGCTCTAATATTGTTACAAGATAAACTAAATTTATCGATCTAGTTTTGTAATTCAAAAGGTGTTTAAGAATTCATGATACGGTGAACTCACTGTTATATGAGGGTAATAACGGTCTTTTATCAAATACTACATCTGTTTATACATTATTCACCTATTCTACTTTAATAACGTTTTATTCATTTTTTTATGTTTTACTAATAAAAAATTAAAAATATTAAATTTCAAATTTGAAAAGTTGATATTTGCATTTACTTAATAACAGATGAAGTATGAGTTTGAATAAGGACGGATTTGGTGAGGGAGTAATGGAGTGTTTGTGATCGCTTCTACTTTAACAAAACGATTTTTTGAAGTGACTTTAGAGAAAATGCATAATAGTAAATGTTAGGGAGTGTTTGTAAGAAATTTAAAAACATACTTTCCAACCTTTGGCTTTAAAAAGCTGAAATTGATGTTTTCAAGTGACAGCTTCTGTTAAAATTAAGCACTTAAAAGTTAAAAGATGAAGACAAGCATTTAAACTCTTTTTCACTTACATATTCTAGCCTTTTAGTTTAATAGAAAAAGTGAAAAACATATTTTAACTTATAACTTTTAAGTGTTTATTAATTCAAGCAAAAGTATCACTTGAAAACACTAGCTTATTGAAAATCATTTTTTTTTGCAAACACACCCTAAAGTATGTAACATATTGGGCATGATAATAAAAGGAAAAAAGGTCAAATAGACCCTTTTACTATCCTCAATACATCATCTAGATACACATACTTTAAAAAGTGTTAAATAAACCCATGTACTGGTAAAAAACGGTTGTTCAAACTTCAAACCCAATGACCGGTAAGTGACATTTTTCAGCCGGTCAATTGCTTAGCCAGTTGCTTATATTTTTTATTATAATTAATATTATTATTATTATTACTATTGTAATTATTTTACGGAGTAATTATAATAATATTCATAACTATAGGTCTGTAGTTACAATTATAGAGATAAATATTGTAATTATAATTACAATTATAATTATAATTTTATTTAAATTATATTTGTAATTGCAATTATAATTATAATCATAGAAATATTCGAATCAGATCAGATCAGAAAGATTCAGATCAGATCAGAAGGATTCAGATCAGATCAGAAACATTCAGATCAGATCAGACCAGATCAGAAACATTCAGATCAGATCAGAAAGATTCAGATCAGATCAGATCAGAAAGATTCAGATCAGATCAGATCAGATCAGAAAGATTCAGATCAGATCAGATCAGATCAGAAAAATTCAGATCAGATCAGATCAGAACTTAAAAAATTCAGATCAGAAACATTCAGATCAGGCGAAGAGAACAGCTTCTTAGTCTTTTACTTTTTTTTTTACTGATAGTCTTTTACTTTATACTCCGTATTTTTCTCTTTCTTGTGATTCATCTGTTCATTCATCTTCTACCTCTAATCCTCTATCTCACCTTTTCTTTTCTTACGAAGTATTTCTCTTTGTTTTTTGTGTTCATGCTTCCACCCTACGTTCCCTCTTTATGTTTTGTTTCGTTTTTTTTTGTACTTTTTCTCCCTTCTTGTTTTTTTGTTCGTCTTCTCTGAATCATTTGAATTTCCCTTTTTTTCCTCTTCACTTTAAAAATCATATCACAACCCTAAGCTCTAAAAAGAGATTTATCCCTTTATTTGTTTTAATCCTCAGTTGGCATTTGTTATACTTTCATAAATTATGCGTGTTAACTTTTTACTAGTATACTACCCGTGCGATGCACGAGATTATTTCCAAAATAGTTAAACACCGAAAACTATAATTTGGAAATAATTATTAGTGAACAAAATTACACATAACGGGATCAGCCCTCAACGGGATAGGTCTAACATACAGGATTAGCCCATAAACGGGATCAAGCCCTAATCGGGATTAATAATTAATAAGCCGCTAGGCCTAATCAGGAATCAGGCCCACGATAGGAACCCACAACCAGGACGGGCTGGACAGCAGACCTCGACCCTGGACGGAGTTCTAGTGAGGCCGGGATATTTCTAGGGCTTACGTGGCAGGCTATCATTCGAGCATAGCTATCTGGCAGCAGACATGATTCAATGGAAGAACGTGGACTTTAAGGAAGCAATCATTGCACAATGTCCAAGACGTGACAGGAGACTTATTCGATTACAATCCAACTAACTCTCGTAGTTGGATTAAACTCCATCACTTTTTATTTTAATTCCTGATTGATTTTTGTGCAAGGTGTAATATGTATATATGGCCTTGAGGTAGGTTCTATAAACAGAATAGCAAC